ATCCAACAAGTAGGTTTTGATGACACCTCATGAAATGTGGAGTTGGAAAGTTCCTTCACATTTAGATCTGGTGTTGTGCGATCTTTCATTAAATGAGAAACTAATTACCAACTTGAATCGAGATGTATGAAGTATTATGTTGTCATGCATTCACTAAATACTCTGGATATTTGTGATTATAGCTTAAAAGGAATGTTCCCTAAGAGAAAGAACATATAGATATCAAGAAGTCACAGGGATTCATATTGAACTTGAATAAATTCGAGATATGACCAACAATGAACCTAGAGTCGACACTAGCTCTCAACTTGAGGTTGATAAACCAGTTAAGTCAAATGACATTGCCTTGTCTCTTAGCAGATCTAGTAAAGTTAGAGCACCTCCTAGGTTCTATGAGTTTCATCTAATTGTGGTAGGAGGTTCATTGATTATGATAAAACATTGATCAATTTAAATAAGTTTGATAGCTACTAAGAAGAGATGGTGGGCCCTATGGAGACTGTTAGAAAGGTATGATAGCGAAATTATATCCATGAAGGATAACTAATTTTGGAAATTGGTTGATCCAAAGCCTAGTCTTATGAAGATGGCTTATGATTGGATATTCAATGTGAAGACTAACATGGATAGGAATGTACACACATTCAAATTTAGTGTGGTGGAAAGGATTTTCACTCAGACTTAAGAAATTGATTATGAGGAAACATTCTCACCAATAGTTGAGAATGGTCTATTTGGTTATTTGTTACCATTGTTCCCTTCTTTGATACAAGATATGGTAAAGTGGGTGTTCACGCAATTTTCATCAGTAGGAATTTTTCAATGAATATATGACATATTCTAAAATGATTTAGACATATAAAGTATCCAAATAAGGTGTGTATGTTTAAGAAATCTATTTATAAATTTAAGTAGACATCGCGTCAAATCTTTTGGGAGTAGTAGGAATCTGTTCTTCCATGAAGAAGTCAAAAGATTGTTGTCTTTCTATAAGTTCATATTAGCCTTGAGTACGTGTCAAATCTAGTGAGAGTGTCGCTATCTTCCTTTTATTGTATGTAGTTGGCAATACTCCTCATATGAAACATTTCCCTAAGTTGCAAGGTGCAAAAGTTCGGGAATTGTTTTGCTATGATGGATAAGGGAAAGTGACATTGATACTTGGTATTTGGATCTAAAAGTATAGATTGAATATTTAATAAGATTCAGTAAAAGCACAATGTGTTAGAGGGTTTCAACATGAGAAATCCAAAGGGGTTGTTCATAGCAAGGATTTGAGTGAATCACAAATGTCCTTTTATACTAATCATGAAAATGACAGGATGAGTCAAGTTTCATATGATTTGGATATAGGATCAATCATGAATGTTATGACTTGTGAATTGTGATCATTTTGATGTCTCAGATGGTTTGATAATCGTGATATTGAATCAAAAAATTGATTGATAGAATAGCTAGACAATGGTGAAGAACATTCTAAAGTATTAAAAGATACCAAGAAATGGTTTCTTGTAGACAGTAGAGAACATGATTGGGAATAGTTTTAGTGACATAAATTTAGAGATTACTTTGATTCATAGTCTAAATAAATATTAATTTTGATTTGTTACACGAAAGGTTTCATATAAGAGATGTGGTAGATTCGACAATGTAGGTTAGACCATATTGGTGCAAGTAAAGTATCCAAGGAGTGTACATGGACTAGAAAACTTAATAGTTGACCTTGGATTTGTTTTGATTAACAAATTGCCATTAGAAAGATTTTGTAAAATTGCAATCAGATTGACTAAGGATTCTTGAGATCATAGAAGGTTAATGCATAGAAAGAGGAAATTCCACTGCATCGAAGAAAATATTGAAGATGGAGATCTAGTTGTGAAGTGAATATCTTTTTGATGATTTATTCACAAAAGTAATGACCAAAGAAAAACATGATATGCATGCTACGAGCATTGGCATGAGAAATGTTGACTAGTTTAATTATTAAGTCAATTACCTCAAAATGTTTATACAATAGACAAATTTGTAATTGTTATGGTGATTAAATAATAAGGAATTATTTATATTCAAAGAGTATGATGTCATAGAACAATTAATTTATTATTGCATTTCACTTTACATTTTACTTCATGAATATTTATATATTCAAAATGCCATACTCAGTCATACTTTTGGAAGTAGGTATTGATTTAAGACTGTCATGAATTGACTGTAGATTGTCCATAGGGATTAGACATTGCATATAGATTGCTACAAAATTCATGAGTACTTTGAAAACAGGGATTTTAAGTATTTGTTAAACTCACACTTAGAGATTAATTCATGGATTCAATCACGAGTAATTCTAAGATGATAATATCCTCTATTCTTCAAACAGAGATATATAAGTCATATTTTGCAAATACGTTGTGTACTGGTTTACTCTAATGCATCTCGTAACTGGGTGTTATAAATTGTAATTCCATGCATGCATGATTTAGTGAGTGAAATTAATGATTATATAGTCAAAGTTTATTCGTTTCTTTTGCCTTAACAGGAATATGGATATCTTTAGGCCCTTCGATGATTTGTTGCCGACATCTGAAGTGCTTAGCCGAGCCCGAACTAAATTAATGTGTTTAATTAGTTGTCTGAATTCAGCCTTCATAAAGCAGGAACTTAAGAAACAAAATCTTGGATGATGAGATTGATTCTGATCTATGTCTCGTGTACATATAATATCTTATAGAATGAAGGAATAACTGATCACTTATCTTAGGACCAGCATCTCATCAGAGTTTGACAGTGTCTTTGGAAAACACTCTTTACTGGTTATTCGGAGTTGTACTTGCAATTGCAGTTAACGACTTATCCAAGTGGGAGACTATTGTATCAAGTGTCTAAGGTCCTAATTAAATTAGTATAATGTTGATGAATAAAAGTAAAGTCCCTTTTGGGTTGCCCTCATAACCAGGAAATAACTTGGATTGTTTAAATTAGAGAAATATAAAATGTTTTGTTAATATATTATGTGATTAATATATTAATTAAAAGTTGTTAATTAATGATTGTTAATTTATATATGAATAATAAATTAATTAGAAATAGTTAATAACTAATTAAGTATTAATCATAATTAATATGGAATTAATTAAAAGTGCAAGAGGTGAATTGTAATTATTCAACAGTTGAACAAAAGTGACAATTCTAGAATGGTCCATGACATGGACGGTTTTGGAGCCTTTCTTAGGGTTTCCAGAACCATTCTAATGGTAAATAAGGAAACGGTTTGGATTGAGATTAAATCTATTATTTAATCCTTCAAATCTTGTTTTGTCCCTAAGTTACCTACACTATAAATAGGACCCAGACATCTAACTTTTGTGACTCTCTCATACCTTAAGGTGGAGAACAAAATTCTTCTAATCTCTCCCCCATCTCTTTCAATCCTAGGGTTTTTTGTGTTTTCGATGTGAACCGTTAGAGGCCCGCACACTATTGGAGCTAGGTTTTCCAAAGAGACTACAAGAAAACTTTTATTAACTTTATTAGGATCTACAAAAGGTATGTAACCCTCTATTTAATGTGAATTTCGATTTCATCTAGGGTTTATAAGTTTTGTTATTCAGTAGTATGTTGCTTCAATAATGTTATGGTATAGATTCATTAGATTGCGTGTACCCTTAAGAGTATAAGGATTTTCCGCATTATTACATGTTAAACCCATCATGTTCATCAAGAAACCTCAAGGACACATAAAGTTCCCAACTTTATGGAATCACACCATTTCAACTTCCTTAGGCTTGAAGATAAAGGGGAAAAAACTTAGATCTAGCAACCTAGAACAATAAAGTTTGGATCTTGAACACTTACAAAGGTCCATAGGTGCCTAAATGAAGTCCCAAAGCTTGCCACGATGCTCACAACACTACAAACCAAAACACCAAGATGAACTCAAAAATAGAAGAAATAGATTAAGCTTTCTTCAAGGGGGGTTTATGAGGTGATGGAGGCTGAGGATGAAGGAAATCCTAGCCCCCCACTTCCTTTAAATAAGGTACAAGTCTGGAAATTAGGGTTTGCCTCTAGTCAGGTGTCACGTCATGACACTTACGTCTCTCGCGGCCATGTCACGTAGCGACGATGCTCCCCTCACATCGTGACCCACTAAAACTCATTTTTTACTTAAAATTTCATACCTCGAGGATCCGAATGTTACATTTTGTTTCCCATGTCAATGATGTAACCCATTTGAAATCATAAAAGACATAATATTTTTCATCGATCCAAACTAAAAGAGTACATGTTTGGAGCATACATCCAAACCAAAAGATTATATAAAGGGCCAAAAAAACTACATCATCCTAACAAGAACCACTACAACAAGAGCCAGAAATTGCAATCTTCCAAGGGCTACTTCCACATTTTTAGCATTTGCTAAGTTGTGCAATTCCAAGATTAAGTCTCTATGCCACCTGTTAGGTAGTACATGTTTGTACGATCAAAGTAGTCACAATCCTTCTCATGAACCTGCAACTTTTACCACGAAATCAAAATTTGTGCATGAACACCAAACAAAAGTAGCCACAAACGTAAAGCATTTATCTTGAAATCACGACATCCAACAAATTTGCGACTTGGTTTTTTGGTGTCGTTGAAGTCCACATCCCGCATTCATCTTCACAGCCGCACTTATTCCACACATATTGCCTTGTCCTACGACTAACACTTCAAACCGAAGACAATGAAGCCATTCACCTTTTCCCTTTTGTAAGTTGTTGTTTTTGATATTCTAAAACATAAATCCGACTAACACTCCAAAAGAAGAGAATGACGCCATGTCAGCCAAGGAACCAGTAAATGGTAATCGTATATGAGACACATTTTGCAAGCGTTAGGATTTAATCATTAAAAAAACGTTATAATTTTTTCAAAATAGAATCAAAATCAAGTGTTACTCAATATTTTTTTTATTGTAATATTATAAAATTTTGAAAGGACACGTACAAATGTTTTAGCGGATGGCCTGCCAAACCCAAAGACCAATAGACCATCGCCATATATGCATCAGTACAGTAACCCAAGTCACCACCGAACACCGCTTTTTGCTTTTCAAATCAAGTGTGCGTGTGAATCGGGTTATTATCTGCCATTCTGCCCCTTTCTCCATACTCCATAACTCCTCCCTTGACTTTTCCCTCTTTCCATACCGTTTTCTAGGTCTCTCTCTGTCTTTACAGAAACATGGATTCATCACCACCACTTTCATCAATGGCAAGTCACCCGATCATGCCTCGGGTTGGTGTTGTTGCTGATGATCGCACTTCAGAAGAGGATGTCTGCAGTATATGCCTCGACGCTTTTGATTCCCAGGATAACCCTCCCACTGTATATACTCTGTCTTCCTCTCTAATTTTCGTTTATTAATAATCTATAAAATTAACAGTTTGATTTCACTTCAATTTTTGAGTCATGTATCTCTACAGAAACTTCGAATAGTTTTTTCCTCATTAGTAGTATTTCGTTGATTCCTGATGTGGAAATTACTGTATATTGGACTTCGGAGAGAGTACGAACATTTTACCCTTTTTTTGTTGTGAAATTCCAGAAATTAAAAAGAAAGGAATGTGGGATTTGGTTGATTATAATAATAAGATATGTTATAGAAATAGTAGAGGGCATACCTATGATCTAGTCGAAGTATATTTGTTCACTGAAAATGGTTGTTAGTATGGCGATGTGAACAATGAGTGATTTTTTCCTCTTGAAGCAAAAGATAATTATGAGTATTTTCATGGATGCCACTTCCATGTGACTTTATTGTAGTGAGTATTGTAAAAGTAATTGCAGTCTGTTCTTATATTGCAAAAGAACTAAGAGTGATTGAAACGTAGTTAACTCAACAACTCATTAAAATGGGATTACTAAGCAATTGAATGAACAAAGTAATCGAATGAGCATAGTATGAATGTGTCATTACATTTCATTGTCATGTTTAATGAGCTTGAAGAAATTGAATGAATTAAACGTTTATTCTTATTTGTAAACTTGATACCATGTAATTTCACTTTTGGATTAAATTTAATCTTTATTAATTTGTATCTTTACAATCACTAACCATTATATATTCTTTTCCCACATTCAGATAACCACCTGCAAGCATGCATTTCATCTCCAGTGTATTCTTGAGTGGTATAATTATAATCTATTCTTATTAACCTTGATATCATATTTTAATATCTTATTATCTTCTTCCCCTTTTCAAATAATGACATTGCTTGCTTTATGACCCTTATATACATACACACAGGTTTTGAATTTTGATTGTTGGTGGAAATTTTTGTTCTTCAGGTCACAAAGAAGCAAAGAATGCCCAATATGTTGGCAGTTGACTGTGTTAAAGGATCCAACCAGGTATAAAAAGCATACCCCCATTTCTTTCCTTTTTTCCTATTAAGTGTTGTCTATAAAATTCTGTTTTTTTTTTTCTTTTTTTTTTTGGTGGAAATTCAGTCAAGAGCTGCTATCAATGGTTGAGGATGAAAGAAGCATGAGATCCATTCTCACTGTTCGCCATATATACGAGGATCCTGAAGTTGATCATGTAAGTTTTGTTGTCCACGTGGCATTTTTGTTATGCAACAGACCAGGACATAATGTGACAAAAGACAATAATACCCTTTAAAATTTTGTTCTTGATCCGCTTTGAGGCCAATCTGTTAATCTCAGGATGTTGAATACAATGATACTCATTTTGAAGAAGAAATTATGACAAGTTTTGGTAGCAGAAGGCACAAACAGAGACTTTCAGGAGTTGGCCCTTCGGTTCCAAGGGCAGATTCGTCAATTGGACAGGAAGAGTATACTCCACTTGAAGAATTCCACAGTTTAAGCTATGCTTCATCACAGGATAACAGAGATTCCAACACTAACCCTAGGTATCTCATTTAATACATGAGTCATGTAAAACCAGAACCTTTTATCTAGTTACACTTTTGTATAATGTTTTTAGAAATAATTCTTTAACTTATCTTGATGATAGTGAGTCACCAAATGGAAATGGTAGCCCAAGAAGAGCAATAGCAGCTGATATGCATGCATTCTCAGAGTCTGTTAAATCCAAGTTTTCTGCTGCTTCAGCAAGGTATGGAATTTTTTAACCTTTTTCAGTTTTTTTGTTCAATAATTATTGGGAGTTTTAAGATGATTTAACACAATTGGCAGATATAAGGAATCTTTCTCAAAAAGCACTCAAGGTTTGAAGGAGAAATTACTTTCCAAAAATAGCCCTGTTAAAGAGTTAAGCAGAGGAGTTCAGCGAGAAATGAGTGCAGGAATTGCTAAAATATTTGAACGCTTGGATCCCAATTCAAAAAAACCTTCTCCTTCTCCTTCTCCTTCATCTAACCCAATCACTGGGGATTTGAGGTCAAATTAGGAGCCGTGTAGATCCGTTCAGGTTAGCCACATCATTTTTTACTCATGACACTTGACACATGACACATGACACAGGACACAGGACACACGTATTTGGTTTGTATTGGCCTCAGAGCCAATGGGACAAAAATTGCATTACCCAAGGTGGAAGGTGAGGCATTGACTCACACTCGATCTCTCGTCTGTGAAAAAGACATAAATGCCCTCCACATCCTCATCATTAGAAATGGCCCTAGAGTGTTTATCTTGTCCCTATAACACAAATAGCCTTAGGTAAGGTTATCTGTGTTTGTTACACAGAAACAGGACTGAACACGTTTTCTAGGACTATTTTCAATGATGGGGATGAGGAGGGCATTTACGTCTTTTTAACAAACAAGAGGTTGAGAGTAAATCCCTGTCCCACCTTTTTCGGTGGGGTGGGGGGGACGAAATATTGCAATTTTTCTCCGGTTGACATCTATTTGTGTGCAATGTGTCCAATGCCTGCTAAATGCAGTACAATATGGTCTGTCATATCATGTCCTGTGTAATACGCAAATGGGCTGTGAACAATTTATGTTCAATGTTACTTACAGAATATGATCTGATGGGTGTTTTTCACTTGCGAAAGTAAGTTGAAAATCGAGCTCTACTTCTACAAGTGATAATAGTAAAGTGACGTACACTGATGAACGGATCTCGCATAACATCAATAAGTGTATTTGACATTTTTTCAAGATGGCTTATGTTTCTAAAAAGAATGACTACATTTTTTTGTGTGGTTAGGATTATTACTAAAACAAGATATGGGTGAGAAGGAAAGAGATTTCTTGGAGAAATCCTTCCCTCTTAGCTCTATTGTAATTTCTTTTCCATGAATATGTTTTTATTTAATGGTATGATGTCCCAATATAATTGTGCTAGGAGTATGATTGTCCTACTACATCTACGAATGGTTCTCCATTTCATGCTTGAATAGGGGGAGATGCAAGGAAATATTGTGGATAAATTAAAAAAAATAATAAAAAATTGTTAAGGTGATGCAAACAAGGAAAATGAAAATGACTTGGGGGATTAAGAGTATAAAATCACGGAAAAAAATGAGACCAATGGCAATTTAGGATGAAATTGAAAAACATTAAGCTAGGGAGAGGTCTAAGAAACAAATACAAAAGAAAGGACTTGATTCACAATTTGAGGGTTTCTTTAGAGAAGATCCATGTTGTTATGGTTTCATTTCTAAATTTAAAAAAAAATCCAATAAGCTTACAATATTAAAAGAGTTTTAATTGGTTAAGAGATGGATATTGCAAGAAGCAAAAATAATACAGATTTTTTGAGTGGAAGGAGATGCTTCTGTGATTAAAGACCGTGGAAGGATGATGTTAAGAACACACAACAAACAGTTGTGACTTTTTTGAGAAAAGCCAGTTGAGAATAGTGTGCAAAAAACACACAATAAATTGTACAACTAATTGTTGACTTTATTGACAAGAGCCGGATAGAAAATTTTGCAAAGAACAGACAGTAAACTAGTAAACTGTACAACTGGTTATATGTGAACCTATACACTAAACAATATTATTATAAAAGAAGAAATAGATACGATATTTATAATATATAAATATACTACGTTAAAACCCGTGGAACCCACGGGTGATAATTTCAAATATAATTAAAAAAAATTGATTATATAGTAAAAAACTTGACTTCATACAAAACGTGATGTCTAATTTCAAATGTAATTAAAAAAATTGATATATAGTAAAAAACTTGACTTCATACAAACGTGATGTCGAACATTAAATTGATACAATTGTCTCTTTGTCATTATAGTAAAGAGAGAGCAATAGTAAAGAGAGAGCAAGATGAAGAAAAAAATGAAAACAAAATCAAGATAAGCATTCTAACTCATAAACACCATAAAAAATGGTCACTATTTAATTCATCGTAATTTTATAATTTACCCAAATTCATGCCCGAAACTATTTTGTAATAATTTATCTCCAACAACGTTTCGTGGGACAAACATATCATTGGGTTTGATAATTTGAAAGATTCTTTGATTCCGTTCAAGAATATTTTTTTTGTATTCTTTTTTTTTATATAAATTATCACAATGCTCATAGTTTTCTACGATAAACATCATCTTCATTTTAAACATAATATTATTTGATAACTAAATAAATCAAATTAGATTTGCCAGTTTACAAAAAAATAAAACAAAAAAAATCAATTATGTCATTCACTGAATTTGCTCTAAGATTAGTGTTGTTATTTACTAAATTTATGAAAATTGTTTATGAAATAACTCAATGAGCATGATATGGGAATACTTAATTAAAAAATTAGCTAGTTATGCCTTCAAGCTTTGGCTACAAAAAGCTCTTGATCTTATTAGTAGTAAGAGCATAATCCAATAACGTTCATCAATTTTTATTGATATTTTGGTCTAGAAAGAATATAAGTCTAAAAAATGAAATATAAAAATCCCTTTCTCTTTCCATACCAATACAGTTAAAACAAAAAATAATGAACAAAAACTTTTTAATCGTAAAGATGAACCATTTCATGAATGTTTCTGTCTTTGAAATGGTAAGCACATTGAAACGAACAAAACCCATCACAGTTTTGCTTTATGGACAAAATCGACTCCATATTTATAACATAAACTTAATACAATCTGTATGCTTAAACCTGACTTTGCAACTTCCCTGATAATTAGAAGTGAACAAACTCCTAAAACTGTAATCAATATTTGGTAAAAGGACGATACACTTGCAATTTATATGGAAACAAATAGCTTAAATGGTCACATAATCTTCTCTATAGGCTACATAAAAGATTTTGTTACAACCCTTAATTTGATACGTAAGATTGCACAATATGGAGGCATATGCACTTTGAAAGTTGTCAAATTTAAATTAGATGCCACCCAAAAAATCTGAAGTTTGTAAGCCCCAAACACCTTCACAACATCAAGAAATAATACATTAAGATTCAAAATTTCACCAGTATAAATACTTTAGAGCAATCAAGAAGGTCGAGGAAAGTTATGAAATTATATACCAATTAATCGACTTTAGATGAAATTGAAAAGATATTCTAAATCTTTACTAATGACATGATGTTGAATCATTAATGCAATCAGGTAAAAATAATACGTGCATCAGAATCATATCCATAATAACTATAAATCTTGAAGCTGTGTTAAACGAATTAAAATACATGCATACCTTAATCAGTAAGAAACAACTATTTGTTGGCTTTGGGTAGAACTTGAGATGAAATCGTGGTACACAAATTGTGTGTAGACTTGCTTCTGCTAATGCATCTTGGACAAATTATACTCATCGCTTCGGCTAAAACATCAAATTCCAAAAACGAGAAAAGATATTGCAGTATAACTCGAGGGCATACTCAAAAGGATTTGGATTTCTCTTTTTAGTACTGTAATCAGATATAACTTGTTTCTCTAATGAAACAATGCTTTATTTTAAGAGAGTAGCACCAAAATGGATTAGGGATGTGATGTTATTTAGTAAGAGCATTTCTCGTATCTTTTTCAAAAAATGTACTCTTAACCCACTGACATTTATCCACCATATTTAGGTGAGGGAATGAAAGGAAAATTTATCCTATTGACACGAGTCTTAGTCTCAATACAACTTGTTGCAAATAGAAGAGCTAACCTTATGGAACCATATAGCTTATTGAACATGTCTTCTTTAACTTTTTCTACTTGGCAAAGAACAATTGTCTACACAACAACAAAAAATAAATAAATAAAAGATAATTTATTGTGAAACAGATGAGAGACCATGGAAGTAGAGATGTTGTGGCATTTAGTGGATAGCTAAATGAACGACATATGGAGTGTCATGACATTGACAATTTGTGAACCTGTTTCCTTAAGAAGCTTTGCAAAGTGCAAACCATTCTTTATCAAAGAACCCTCCAGGGGATACAAGCAGTGGTTTTGGCTGGATTCGTCTGTGTAACAACGTGAATTTTCAAAACAATTTTTTCATTTCTTAAAACATGTTTTCATCCAATCAAGTCATAAAATCCAATGTATCATAACATAATACAAATCATGTAAATCCCAAGATCATAAATAAATCCTCTGATAGTGTGTACAGATCACGCCGGCGCATTCCCACGGTCCTCGCTAGTACCTGAAACACGTAACACAACAACTGTAAGCATAAATGCTTAGTGAATTCCCTAAAATACTACTTACGCACATACGCCCTTCCAGGCCCTGACCTTCCTGTCCATGTGTCTCAGGGGACTTCCGTCCCGACTCGGTAAACCTTCCGGTCCTACCCGCGTCAACCTTACGGTCCACATCACAACGCCTTCCGGCCCATAACATATATGCCTTCCGGCCCATAACATAATGCCTTTCGGCCCATATCAAGCATATCATACATAACACATACAAACGGTTACTTATCATATACAATGCATACAACTCATAACATATCCGACCTTCCGGTCACACAATAAAACCCTTCCGGGTACAGTATAGTGAGAAAACTCACCTCGTGGAAAGTCTAGAATCTCACGTGCTCGCTATCTCTGAATCTCGAAACGAAGACCCAACCCTGCCTAATCATAACGAAATATCATTCTAATTAATATAGACTTCCACAACTAGGCTTCACCCTTATTAATATTCCTCAGAGGGGTAAAAGACCATTTTACCCTTCCTTGACTCAAAGTCCACATGTTGATCAAAACCCTAAAAGTCAACAAAAGTCAACATATCACAGTACGCGGGGCGTACAGACTTATGTACGTGGGGCGTACATCGTTGATCCACAATCGGGGGTCTCCACCCAGTACGCTGCGCGTACTGGGAGTTACGCCCAGCGTAACACCCAAATTCAGTCACACTACATTTCTGGTCTTAAATGGTTAAGAAACTTCTTCAACTTCTAGATCCGGCTCTCTTTAAACCTCCTTACCCATAAAGTCGAAACCTTTAAGCCTTGACATGGCTGTAAAGGTTCCTACACCCATAATACCTTTCCTTTTCAACTCAAAAGATCTAGATCTCATGCATGGCTAATCATTCACGTCCAAGATTACATTTTTATGAACCTACAACTCAAATGGACCAGAGATATGATAAATCTAAGCCAATGGAGACTACTTGCTCATAAAGTCTCCATCTTTGGGACCAAAACCCTAGAAAATGGTCCATAAAGCATACCACAAGAACTACAAGGCAAGATCTGAACTTTTTACCTTAGGAAGAAGCTCCAACCTTTGCTATTTACGGATCTACACTTGAATACCAACTTCTAGCCTCCACAATGGACTCATCTTCTCTTTTGCTACCTTGAAATGACACCTCAAAGCTTAGAACACTCACAAACAAGCTCTGAATGAAGGAATAACTCTCTTAGGGTTTCTTTATGAAGGATGGTGGATGAGGAACCAAGCCATCTCATTCCTTTTATAGCCAACCACCAAATTAGGGTTTTTGGGTCTGGACCGGTTACGCCCGACATAACCTTGGGTACGCCCAGCGTACCCGGGTGATGACGTGGGTAAATGAGGCGCGCGAGTACGTGCAACGGACTCCTTGTACGCCCAGCGTACTCGCCCAACACAAAGGCCCAAAATGACAATTAATAGAAGATAAAGTGCAAATTAGTGGTACCTGAATTTTGGGCTGTTACAGTTCTCCCCCACTAGAACTAGACTTCGTCCCCGAAGTCTTATACCGAAAACAATTCTGGATACTGCTCCCGCATCTTCGACTTGGACTCCCATGTCAGCTCGGACCCTTTCCGATGTTGCCACTGCACTTGCACCAAGGGTACTTCCTTGTTCCTCAGAACCTTAACCTTTCGATCCTAATTGCCACTGGTCTCTCAACATAGTTCAGGCATGCATCCACGTGAATATCCTCTAATGGCACCACTGCCGACTCGTCGGCAATACATTTCCTCAACTGTGACACATGA